GGCTCCCCAGCCGGCACGGCGCCTTATTGTTCCTTACCGGGCCGCTCGCGGAAACCCGACGCCGCTGGAATCACCGGCTGGCGCCGGGCCCGCAGTCAACCCCAGCCCCTGGATGGAGCTTTTGCCTCTTGGCCTTTGGTGCTGCCGTCAGAACGGGGTTGCTCGCTCTGCCTGCCTGGTGACCTCAGGCTTTGTCCTTGTAATAAACTGCTGTAACTAATTTGCTAAGTTAAGCAAGGCGGGTACGATAGGTTTGAATGATCTGTAAATGTTAAACCCCACCATCCTGCTGTCTAAAGTATTGTAAAAATAGAATATGGTACCCTGTGTGGGTTTTGAAATGATTTGCAGTTACTATAACCTGTATTACACTGAATGTTTGAATATATATGGATAAAATATAAAGTATGCCATTTGGTTGGAAAAATGTAACTGCTTCTCGGAAACCCCCGTCACCCAGAGCTGATAGGTAAACCGCTTCTCGGAAACCCCATCACCTAGAGATAACGTGTAACTGCTGCTTGAAGAAAAGCCCACCAAAAGATGTGATCATGAGGCTTTCAAAGGATCCTATGGAGAAAGAGCAGGACAATCATCTGACAAGAAGAGGATTGGTTAAGACGGTGGTACAGGAGTATAAAAGACGTTGCTTTTTAGAACTCGGGGTGTGTCTTGGTGGAGCGGAGACTCCCAGCACACCCAGCGCTGCTTTGTCTATTGTTTCTCACCCTAAATCAATTGAACCCAATTAAAAATATGTTTAAAATTGGCTCGTTTGATTATAACATCCTCAAATGGCAGCGGCGTGTTTAGTGAACAGCAGCTGGCACCCCTCTGCCTCATCACCAAAAATGACTCAAGAACTGCAGATCGAACCACCTTCCTGGCTGGAGAGAAGGAGAAGCTTTGGGGCAATCCTCTCCGCAAGGTGGTTGCAAGGTGCTGAGAGGATGTGGCGTGGTGGCATAAACTAAGGTGTTTTCATATTCCATACTACATGAAGAAACAAAAAATATGGTGGTTTAGGCTCTATGTCCCATTACACCTGCCTGCAGTGTTCTCAAAGGTGGCGATAGAACATGAATTTTATTTTGTAAATAACATATGGAGCTTTATCCGTCTTTTTACAAGTTATGACTTGGATCTAAAAAATTTTTTTAAAAAATAATTCTTGTGCCTGAATCGCTATAAAAGCTTAAAGTTGGATGGCCATTTCTGAAACATTCAGCCTTGGCAGACAAAACAATTGTAAGTGTTCTTGTTTTCTGCATTAGTTACCTTCCACTGCAGTATTATCCCAGCTAAAGACCATTATATACACCATCAGGTGGTAGTTTCTTCTTCTATGTGCAAGGAGACAAAAAAATCTTAAGAGAATCTTTTGAATATTGTGTATTAGTATGTGGACATTCAAGAAGTTTACATAAAGTTTTAATCGGGAGTTATCATCTCACTGGTTTCTGTAATACTAAAAGTGAAAATTCAGATTCTCAGGACTTCAGGAGATCCTTTCCAGAACTGTGTTCATACATGCTTTCAGGCCAGGACTGCCTGCTCCTGTTTTGTCAATAAACTGACGATTTCACTTTTTTGACTATCAAGATACCATTCTCTTTGTACAGATTAATGCAAGTTTCTATTTCTGATGACTGAAGGCAGTAAACCTTAAGTATATGTTTATAATGAACTTACTCTGTTTTGACACTCTGCAACATGTTCCTTTTCTTTAAATTTTAGAGTTTGCCATACTGTATTTGCAGAAGGAATAAGCGTACTCTGGGCAAAAAGCCAAGAAAAAGCAGTTCTTACCAAGCTAAATTAGGTAATTACATTTTCACTGTGTTTTTAAAGCACAGCTGTATCTTTTGGGTTATGAGAATTAGTATATAATATACTTAACTTTATACTTTTCTTCTTATGTAAGGGAAAATGTCCCTTCAAAATGCAGACTTGTCTAATTAGCTCATTTTCTCCATTTTGAAAGTCAGTAAAAGTAAATGCATTGTTTATTATAATTTTTTTTAGTTTATAGTGACCATTATCAGGTGTCTCATTCATTTCTGTGTCAGAATTTGGTAGATGAGAGAAAAATTAAATCCCTTTTGTTTTGATTTTCCACTAAAATGATTGCATTATTATTGTACCTCAATACTTTTCAATGCTATTTTAATGACAGGTAATAAGTATCAATGAAAGATGACATATAGTTACTCAGTTTTCTCTGTGCTCAGAAAATGACACCACTAACACCATTCTCTTGGTAACTGAAGAAGACTGATAAAAATTATGCTGTTACTCTGTTAATTAGATGCACAGTAAGATTACAGTATCTCACAAGAGTTCCTTGAAGCCTACAGTCCAAATAATCACTAATATTCTCTTTTTTAATCTGTAAAAATTGGGTATGCAACTT